GTAATGTCACGGACATACATATAATTACCTATATGAATAGATAAAAGTATGTAAAAGTAGGTTAATTGTGTAATATCTTCTAGAGAAGCTTCTTAGAAGCTTCATAGATACTGCTTTGACTTTATAGGAGTCTATAGTTGACTTTTAGGTTAGAAACTTGGTCAACAAGTTAGCCATGTGCCACGCATGTTAGAAGCTTAAAGAACAAGCTAACTACGTGGTCCATCCATAGAAAACTTGCCTTGCAAGCAAAGGCATGTGGCCTAGAAAGTCAACATATATTGGAGGTCTTATAGAACATCGCCACGTGGCTTCTAGTTAGATAGTATATATAGAGGCAAGAGTGAAGCCCTCTTCACTCTTGTCAACTCCTTTCTTGCTTCTAGTCTAGTTTCAAGGGTCTCTAGTTTTCTTGTATTTTGGCAATAGCCATTCCAGTTTCTTTCTTAATATACATATTTCTATTTTGTCCTATTTCTTTTTGAGAAAAGTCTCACTTACTCTTTAGCTTTCATCGAGTTCTTGTCCTTGACAATTTGCCACATGTTAGACTTCTCAACATATGATGACCATTGCTTATAGAATTTGTCTTTAGAAGGAGAAGTAATGTCATAGACATATATATTTACTTAAATAAGAAGTGCTAGATAGAAATTAAATGTAGGTAGATTTTATATTATCTTATAGCAAAATTTCTTAGAAGCTTCATAGATATATATTTGACTTAATACATGTTTATAGTTGATTGGTAGATTAAAAACTTAGTCACAAAGTTAGTCATGTATTGCATATATAGATAGCTTGTGGTATAAGCTAATAATTATAATGTATATATAGAAAACTTATCTTGCAAGTTAAGACATGTATCTTGCAAATTAGACATGTGTTAGAAGTTTTATAGAACATCACCATATATCTCCTAATTGGATAGCATATATAGAAGCAAGAATGAAGCCTTTTTTACTCTTATTAATGCCTTTGTAATTCTTAGTCTTGTTTCAAGACTTTCTAGTCTTCTTGTTTTTAGCAATAGCCATTTTAATTTAATATTATAGTATCTTTGAGTGATTCTCAAGTCTTTTTGAGTGACACAAGAATGTATTAATCTTTTAGTTCTCTAAGATTTATGTCCTTGGTAAAAATTGCCATAGAAATGTGGTTTTATATCTTGGGATTTGATTTTGACTATGATTCATAATTGATCTTTTCTTAATATTAATTCATAAATTGTTAAGATAATTTTTTCCATAAGCTATTTTTAATTTTTTTTTAAAGATTCTTATATTATTATTTTTAATATATATATTTATTTATATTTGTATAAAATAAATAGAATTTTTTTTATAAAAAAATGACATTAATATTAAAAAAAATTACTACCTTTCTATTTTTCATCCATGTTTTGCTACTATGTCTTTTTTCAAGTCTTATCTATAATAAAATCCATATTTTTATTTTTTATCATATAATTGTATTACAATACAATTCTAGTGATGAACTTAAGTTAATTGGTAATAAATCTAATTTGATTGGCAATGAATTCAACTCAATTGATGATGTAATAATAGAAGGTTGTGAAGCATAAATACCTCAAGTAAAGCAAGTACAGATGTTATATTCAATGCTATTGTAATATTTTCAATTGTGCATATTTAGACTTGTATCTTTGTTATGTTTAAATTATTATATAGAATATAAATTTATTCTATTTTTTGAATTTCATAAATAATCTTTTTGATTTTTATTAGAAGATTTTCTAAATCCATGGTTATTTTTGTAATTTCTACTACTCATATATCTTTTGTTATTGATAGGATGCAACAAGTTTTCATGTTCAACCAACTTCTTTAAAGACAAGATCTAGTAAATGACAACAATATTTTTTCTTATATAGGACTTGGCCATCAAAAGTGGCAAATTTTCTAAGTAATATTGGCTATCGAAACCACCAACTATCAAGACTTCTCCATAATACAACATCCTCATATTTCAATGTTGACAAGAAAGTCCAACTATGGTTGTAAATGTACCTAAACATGAGCTGCTATTAATATCTAAGGATATTATAATAAACTAAAATTATTCAAATATAAGATACTTTCATAATAACATCCTTGAAAAAACTAATATTGTAATAGTGGCATATAAACATATGCTTAGAGCTTTCTTATTTTTTAATTGCTCTACTTATATTATAAAAAAAAAAAAATAGAAAAATTTATACATCTCAAAGAACTTTCATAGAGACTTTCATATACAAATTCAATGTAAAATGTTGCAGTGTTACATTGGATGTGGTCATATAACCAAGCTAGAGAGTATTACTGGTCCAAAATTTGATAAAAATTAGATTATTCATTGTGACAAATCTAAATTTTTTGAAGATATGTAATAGGTTCATTTTTAGAAGTAGAAGCAAACATGATATAAAAGTTCATCCAATCTATATTAAAATCTCTTTTGAAGAAGAATTTATTACTTTAGTCTATTTTGTAAGAAAGGTAAATCAACCACCATCTTCTTTCAATGAAAAATATTTCTTGCAATTGTTAATATGTTTTTTTGATTGTGCCAAATACAAAAAAAAAACTTGGATGTGAAAAAATATTATCAAGAATATTAATATGTGCTAAATCTTTATTGACAGCAATAATAATATATCGCAATATTCCATACAATAGAACAAGTTATACTAATATCTAGTACAAGAATAATTATGTTTCTTCTTAAACTACAATTATAAATGACATATTGAAATTTATAACATCCATAATATGAAGCATGAAAATTCTAAATCTCTTTTTTTTGTATATAAAATTAATAATAATATTATATGAATATCTTTTATAAATTTTATACATTTAAAATGAATTAAAAATAATTAATTAATCTTTTTTGTCTCATTGCATTTGTATATGTATTAACAAGTAAAATTTCAAAGATTTGCTATTAAAATATAAATAAGAAAATAACTATGAAGATGAGCATGATGAAGACATTAGATGTCATTATAGACAATTGTTAAGGATATAAATCTTGAAAATAAAAACCTCAATATAATCTTATGTCACTGAAAAAGATTAGAAAATCACTCAAAGATGGTAATATATTGAATTAGAATAACTATTGCCAAAGGTAAGAAGACTAGAAAAACTTGAAACAAGATTAAAGATTAAAAAGTCATTGACAAGAGTAAAGAAGATTTCACTCTTGCCTCTATATATACTCTTGAAGTAAGAGCTATGTGATAATATGCTATAGGACTTCTAACATATGTTGACTTTGTTAGACACATGTCTTAATTTACAAGGCAAGTTATCTATATGTGAACCACACAATTAGCTTGTTCCACAAGCTATTAATATATGTCATATATGGTTATCAATTAACTACAAACACATGTAAAATTAAAGAAGCATCTATGAAGCTTTTTAGAAGCTTTTTAGAAGATATTATGAAATTAATATATTTTTATTTACTTCTATATAATCATATAGATAATTATTATAATAAATATATATATTCATGAAAATAGTGCATGCAACCACTAAACTTAGAGAACCTTCTTTATACAATGCAATAAAAATATCTCTTAGAACTACTAGTGCAATAAGTATTTGAGCAATTAATGTATTTTGTTCAAATTGGAGGCAATAAGCAATTAAATGTCCTGCCAGTAATACCAACAAATCATGATTATAACTTCCATTTTAAACCAACAAATGTCATTATTTGTTTAGATAACAAAGCATACAAATTTAAATAGATAGCTTCTTAGCTGCATAGTTGAAACATGCTAACAAAATAAATTTGCTTCAAATTCATTGTAAAAACCTCTTCTATTATATTTAAAGATAATGTAGTACTTATCAAAGTAACATTAATAAACTACCTAACTTTAGATGTGCATAAACTAATCTAGGCGTCTTTTCATGTCTTTGTATATGTTATTTGATTCTTCTAGTAGAGAGTCCATATTGAGTGTATTTTCTATTTTGGAGTGAAATAATTCCAAAGTAGCTACTGTGTCTTTTTTGAGATAAAAGATAGAACAATATAGAATTACAAAAGAAAGATTGTAAAAGTATAACAAGGTGAAAATAAATTATGTAAATTTAGAACAACAATGAAATAGAGAACATGAATGTTATAAATACATATCACTTTATTATTTTTGTTTATTGTGGCTCTCAAATTTGAAGTGTTTTATCAGTCATGTTTCTACAAATGTACTATTTTTACATACATATTAACCATGATTAATCTAATCAAATCTTCTAATGATGTTTATAGTAATACATTGCAACTTGACAATCTATTTTCTGATTTTATATTCATACAGATACTGCTATAATCAGATTGTAGATTATGATAGTCTTTTCCATGATTTTCTTTTCCATGATTTTGATGATGGGTGGATCAAATTAACGGATGGTGGGATTGATTTAACACTCCTATATATATTTTTATTTCTAAAAGGCTCTACTTGAATAAGATTGTAATTGAATAACACCAAAATTTGAAATTTGAAATTTTCAAAAATTGTAATTGAATAAACCAATATAAAATTGTAATTGAGAAATAAGGGAGCTGACGTCGCGAGCGATGTCACCAGCGCCATCGCGAGCTACAGCGTCCAACGTTACGCGAGCCCCGACGTCGCGTCGCGAGGGGGGATTAGGAGCAGGCCCCACAGACATGCATCGGGAGAGAAACTGAAATCCATCGGTGCATGAAGGGTGCGGGTGGAGTTGAATGCGATGCGGTTTCATAAGGACCAGTGGGATCTAGAGGGTCAATCTGCTCTCCACCAGAGAAAAAGAAAAGAACTAGGACCACTCTAGGAGGACGCTTCGTCGAAGCAGCTTGTGACGGCACCTGCATGTGGGACGATGGCAAAAGATCTGGAGTCCTGACGCAAGTTGCAGTTGCCCACTTGATCGCCTTTCCCCATATTCTAAGATATCAGCGCACTTCGGCTTGTGGTACTGTTCTAGCTCCCTGTGAGAACAGCGCTCGCTCAGGGTCTCGAGGATGGCGGAATCATGTCTTGACTGGAGTCAGACAGCAGCTCGAATCAGCTTTACCCCCACCCCTTATGCAAGTTGCGAGGAGCCCTTGGACAGTCATACAAGAGCCGGTCACTCGGGCTTGTCGGAGCCCCTTCTCCTCCTATGGTTTTTTGGGACCCCATTTTTGTAGTTGGAAGCTTGGTTTCTGCGCGGAGTTGCTGATTATATGTTGCTCTTCTGTGTGCGGTCCGCTATGTGGGTCTGCGGCCAGAGTACTGTATTCTTAGAAGCTGCATTTTGAAACGAGGTGGTGGAGGTCTTGGCGCAAGTTTTCGCTGCGTTTATTGTCCATGCCGTCTGTTGCAAGGACGCAGGTGTTGGAGTTTCTGAAGCAGGTGTGTTGGCGTTGACCTAATCGTGATAGATTGGGAGCTTCTGCTAATGACGATTGGATTCGTAGGTTACAGTTGTGATTTGGAAATGTGATGTATTCATTCATTTGTTTCTGAGTAATTCACTTGGAGCTATGTACTTCTCAAGTTTTCTAGTGCGTTGATGACGTGAACAAGGTCGTGTCTACATGCGGTAGTGATACTACGCTAGATTAGACTGTCTTTTGGATGCATGAGATAAGTTGGCGTGTTGAATGTATTTGGTGCGGAGTTGTCGAATTGAGGCAATGATATTATTAGGATTTGTTCATTGAGGATAGGATTATGGAAGATTTAAGATTCTTATGGTGACTTATGTTCACACGCTTCACTGGCGAATCTGAAAGCCCTGTTGAGTAACGTCGGTTTCAATGGAGGCAGTAAATTCCATAATACGTGAACTTCCTTAAGAGATATGGTGCATCTTCTTTGATCTTATGAGGTCAGTAAGACAATGTTGGTGTCACCAAGTCCAGCCACTGTACACTTTTTGTAATTGTAAATGGTGTATTCATTCATCTTCAACAACAAACATTGGAGTGTCTGAAACTGTTAAAGACTGCTCCTGTGAGATCATAAGGACAATATGAACATGGTTGTGTGATGCTGTCTATTTGTCGCAGGTGCGCAATGAAGGAGGCGTGGTGTTTGCGGGGCTATCAGAGAAGGCCTGGTGCGGCACTGATGAGAAAGCTGCTGAAGCTGCATACGAATTAGCGTGGGAGGAATTACACGGAGGACCCTGGCAAAGCGTGTCTCTCGTATGGCGTGATGCCTTTTCTCTCTCCTGCTTGTCCTTGGCATCATGCCATCACCACGCCAACCGGCCCGCAGAAGCTCTCAAAGTCTTAGATCTTGGATTGATTATAGGAGGACCGCAGTTTCGTGCGGAACTTGATGCCGCGCTTCACAGTATTGGCTCAACGAATGGTCTCGAGGCGTCAAATGGTACTGAAGGGTTACCGAGTATGCAGGATTTGCATTTGAGAACTAAAAATGAAGGGCAAAAGCTAAAAGAGGTTAACAACATGTCCTTATGATCCGAGTTCGATGCATTCCAGCTGAAAAGCTGAGTACTCCCTTATCAATAGGTCGTTGGTGGAGTCTATGATGTGGGTCGGAGTATGTGTGTGCTACCTGGTAAACTGTTTGAAGTTAGGCAAGCCGCGGAACCTCTTCCATCTCAAATCAGAAGCTGCAAATCGTGTTTGGGGCTTTCCACCACCACTGCATAATACTTTTGAACGCTTATAAATTCCTGTATCATTCTTCACGGGAGAAGACAAATCACATATGTTTGAACTGAAGACCCTATTGCAAACTGTAGTAGACATTTATCTTGATCAACCACTTCATCTGAATATGTATGATCGACAGACATCCCGCGACAAGACATTGTTTCTTTTCGAAATCTGAAAATTCGAACACGAAACGAGATGTGTTATCACGAACGACGTGTGGCAAAAATATGATATGTCATGTGAGGACATGTAGATGTCGAAAACGGAATTTGGATACGTCAGGAATTGAATGCTCAATTGGCAGGCTCTCGGAACTTCCTTCTGTGTAAGAATTCCTCCATGAATGTGTTCTGCCGGAGGTACCTGAAGTACTTGAAGATTTGACTACTCATCTAACTGCTAGGACTAGATTATCATGACAACGCCCATATGTGCAAGGTCAATTTGCATCGCGCAGTTCCCACGTAAAGTAGTTTACTTATGTTGTCCTCGATCCTTCATATTAAAGAACGGTTGGATTGTTGGGCAACCATTCTTTTGTTGTGTTTCATCTGGTTTAGAGAAAGTAGATTTAGATTTTGCCACCTCATCGTTCCCTCCGCAATATTCTTGGCTTCACTGTTGCAGTGTTTCACACAGTTCTTCAGCAATGGTGACATGAACTTGCAGGCATGCTTGATAGGTGCGATGATTCTCTTTCTCACCTTATGATTGTCCTTTTCCATCTTTCTGCCTCTGAATTTTGTACCTTGGATTTTGAGACGATCAGGGAAGAGAGTAGTAAACTATGATGCTGCAGACTGGGAGCGGGAAATCTTGTCAGTTTCCCAGTTTTTAGAGCGACCCTTCACGCGCACAGATGCACAGGTTACCAATTTGCTACTTCGGATTTCAGAACTGCAACCCAGCATTGCGACCCTCCAGAAGGAAGTCCTTAGTCTGTTACTCGTCAACTAAACTCATGGTGACCACTTTTATTCGAGTTCCAGTGTGGTTCATGCGTAAGAAACAAGGCACTTCTTTCCAGATACTCATGCTGCTGCATTACAGAAGAGGATGACTTTCAATCAGTGCACCTGGCCGGCCAGAACGATCACTTTACATCACAATGTTGTAAATATAAATTCTGCACAGGTTGGACTCAGTTGCAATGTGAATTGATTATTCAAAGGAAAATAATGTGAACGTGGAAAATGACTTGAAGCCACTATCCATTCCTGTTGACCAATGCGAGGAATCGTTTTTTGTGCTTGAGCAATTCGGGAGAAGGTGATTCAGAAATTGCCTATTTGTCGGATATCTTTGCCATTGATTTTGGAAATTGTCTCTTGATTATATCCTCGTGAGCATTCTGGTGGTAGAATAGAAGAATGTAAAAACTATCCGCCAGGAGCCTTTCACAGCTCTCACCCACTCATGCGTTGGAGATTCTATCAGGTGTGCAAGTTTGTACCAAGAATACATAATTCTGAACCACATGAAGGAGGCGATTCTTTCTGTGTCACATCTCGCCTATTTTTTAAGTACTGAGAGGAGGATAGGCATTCTTGTTCATCGAAGTCTTGGTAAGGGAACTAAAACGAAGTCGTTTTATGTTGTTCAAATTGGCTTAAACTTTCTGTCATCACAACAGTTACCAGTCGCTTTTAGTGTGTGCATGCTGCAACAGAGCTTTGTGCGTTTATAGATTCAGAAGTGGTCCAGAGCTCATAAAGCTTCCCACTCGAAGGTAGCACTTTGCAAGTGGCCAAAGATCAATAAACATAGATTGTATGATGAAGAGGAAATCTGTCTATTGAAACCATAACTAATTGGACTGGTTTGAGTAATTATACTGTACATGAGTCCTTGTGTCCTCACACGAGACTAGTTTTAGAATTGTGAGCCATTAGGTGAGAATATCCAAAAAAAAATATTCACTGTAAACGCACAGTGAGGGAAAGTTGTGCCCAGAAGTTGCTCTTATTTTTTTAATTTATTAGTAATTTACCAACTGGAAAATATCATTCTTTATCTTTAACAACTCACACACACACACCTATATATATATATATATATATATTCTTTTCCTTTTTTTGCTTTGTAAAAATTGTGCATTATATTTCATCGAAAAACACTCGGCATTCTCAATTATTGTAAAATGCTTGTAAATTTATGTGTGTTCCAAGATAGTTTCATAACACAAAAAGGGAGATTAAGGCAATTTAGTAAGGATTCAGTAACATTTTATCTGTATTCATCAACACCCAATGAACACTAAAAGTCTTGAGGAATGACCATTGTCTGAGGATTCGTGTTGAATGAGAGGCCAGCAACATATGTTGCTAAGATGTACGATTTCGGAAAACCTCGTCTGAAGTGGTCTCCTCACCACCGTCACTGCCATTCATGAAAAACTCTACATCCTTTTCGTTTGCGAAGTCCCTGCGCTGGTGCTTCGCATGGGAGGCCACGAGGATCATCTTTCCGGCTTTCTCAACGGCCAGCCGAGAATGGCATTGTCTGTAAACCCATCGCCACATGACCAATTGATCCTGAGCCTACAGCTGGTGGCATACAAGTAAAGCAATCTCATGGCGACTTCACCCAAGGACTAGTACTTACTCAAATCTCCCATACGAGGCGCCCTCTCTGGAGATCGCAAATTTCAGATGCCTTGTCAAAGAATCCCATTGTTTCACCTGCACTAGCTGTGTGTGGAACGGATCCAGCCCCTCGGTGTGCCATTTCACGAGTTCCATAATTGCAACATGGGCTTCTTCTCTCCCAACCAACCTGCTAATCAAGCGGTTCACGTCCTTCTCCTGGTCGGTCATTACGCATTGGAATGGAGGAAGGTAATTGCCGCTCAAGTCAATGAGAAGGTATAGTGGATTTAGATTGAGCGCTACTGCCTACGCTGGACGGTAATTCTTGCTGAGGCAGGTTTCGATAAGCTGATAGACATAGCATTAGTCCCTGTTGTGGCTGGTGCACCAGTCCATCTTTTTTTGTAGCTCGTTCTAAAGGGGGAAACGTTGGCTCACGAGGGATCTGTCAACTTCGATGTCTTTCACTTTCTCCTTCACTATATCCACAAAGTTTTGAACCGTTTCCAAGCCTGATCAGAACCGCGCACAGTCAACTAGGCCTGCCACATCACTCCCCAGCTTGTCCTCGGAGGATCTCGTCAAGGAGTCTTCTTGGCGCTTCAGCTCCGCTGCTTGTTTCACCTCAACAAATTTGGGGCTCAGCTTCGCTCTTGCGAGATAGCACGAGCTGACCGGGGGAACTTCCGAGGTGTCTCAGGGATGCCTTGAACTTGGGGTTCTCGGCACAAGAGCATTCGGACACTGCCCTCGTGCAATGCCAGAGCATCCAGATCCTCCTTTTCCTTAACAGCAACAAGAGCATCTCTGGTGTGTCCATCCGAGTGAGCTTCACACCCACAGAATCGCTAGTTGAAACCGGTTGCCACCCAAGCGATGTTGCAGCGGCCCTCTTCACCCAGCATCGGGGCAAGAGGGTAATGGATTGCAACAAAAGGAAGCGGGTTCGAGCTGCTGTGCCTGGAGCCCCATGCGATTGAAATTTGAGCATGTGCCTCACTTGAAATGTACCGAAGTATTCTGCACTTCAATGTTGTTCGAGAGTTGGAGTGAGTGACATGACTCCAATGTCACTCTCTCCAGCTAACTAGGTGTGCTAGAGTGGGTGTGAAACTGGACAATGGCTCAGTCTTGGGTGTTGGAGGTTGTTGAGTCTAGATTTTAAGGGTCTCCAACAGAGTCATCCCTAGTCTGTGCACGCAATGGTAATGTTTGTGCCTACTTATAGTTTTTAACAAGAAATTAGTGTTAATATTCTTCTTTTAGAAGTATAGAAGTGTTGAATATCTTCACTTGAATTTTTTCTCTTGTATAATGGTATTACATATTTGCATATTCTTAAATGGTATTAAATATTATTAAATGATATTTGGGATTGTTAGTCAATGCAATGTTACTAGCATAGATGAAAATATGATTTATTTGTATAAATTTTAATTTCTCTTGTAATATTTATTGCAATATTACCTCTATATTTTATGACTTTGTAGAAGATATGACTATTGATCTTAGTCTTTTGCAACTCCAAAAAAGGATTAATTTATCAAGAAAAAAATAACTTTTTATATATTAAAATTATAATAATTAAATAGATATTGAGCTAGACTATCAATTGCTTATAAATTTTTGAACTCAGAATTTAAAATTGTATTTATTAACTATCAATTTTTTATATATGAATCTAATATATGTCTATATTTAGTAGTTTATTTATTTAGATAAGTAAAATCAGGTAGTAGTAAATAGAATTAGATTAATTAGATAGAAGTAAAATTATAAATTTCTTGTTGAAAATCTTCTTAAAAGCTTGTATACTTAATAAGTGTTTATAAGTGATAGTTAGGTTGAAAACTTAACCAATAAGTTGACTATAAGGTGTACATATTAGTCACTTGTATTATATGTTGGCCATGTTAAAAACTTATTCTATAAGTTAGATATGCATTCTGCAAGTTACTTATATATCATATGGCTTATAAGACGTTGCTACATAGCAACAACTAAAAAATATATTTTTTTAATTTGTATTATATTTCTAAATCCAATAATTTTTTTAAAAAAAAAATATATATATATATATTAAAAAATAATTAGGTGTAGTCATTTTTAGATATTTAATCTAAATTCCTTGCTATCAATAAAATTTTATAATTTTATAATTAAATCTTTATTAATTTTCAAAACTTTATTTGAGATAAATTATATTTAATTTAGTAGGAGAAAACAAAGAATTTATGCTTTGATTCTTTTTCAAAAATATAATTTAGCATCAATAATAGAATTATATATTTTACATCTTTTTAAATTAAAAAATATTTTAATAAAAAAATATCCCTTAAAGACATATAGATAATATTTAAATATTATTTATATAAATAATTTTTTTTTAAAAATGACAAGGAAGAATTAAGGTAATTGTGTAGTTGATTTTATTATTCTTTTGAATTATAATAAAGAAAAAAGAGATCTTTTCATCAAGAAAAAACTAATAATATTATAAATAAAGTAAGTAATAAATATTATTTAAAGAGAGCTAAAATAAATCAAGTTATAAATATAATTATTATTATTAAAAAATAAAAGAAAAAACTTAATTAGGTCTTTACTTGCATAAAATTATAAATATCAAGATAAATTATTTTTAATCTATGATTTATAATTATTTTAGTTTATATGTAAATATTTTATTTTTAGTAAATTTTATCTTTAAAGTAAAAAAAATATAATATAATTTTATTTTATCAAATAAAAAAATTAAATAAATTAAAATTTAAGTTTTTTTAAGTTAGTTATAATTAAAGTGTTTAAGACTCTAATTTTATATATCTACTGTTTTTTATTTATTGAGTATTAAATTTTTAAATATACAATTATTGAATTTTTTTTTCCCACCAACTTGATTTACAAATTACTAGCAAGAGTTAAACATAAAAAGAAAATTTTTGGTTGTAAAATTAAGAATAAGAATAATTTAATTCTTTAATAATAAGCTAATA